GATTGGACGGACGGGATCAGTCGGGACGGCGACGATCGAGACCGTCTCATAGGCCTTGGGTACTTGATTGGACGGACGGGATCAGTCGGGACCGCGACGATCGAGATGGAGAAGACCGGTCGCTTCCCCCATCACGACTAAAGATGCAGACGACACACAGAAAACAGGTAATCAAACAACGACAACGGCGAATTTGGACACGTGTCGAGCGATGATTGCGTTCCTAGCTAGGTGCCAATCTAGGTACCAATCATGCTAATTAGTCCTCACACACGTGAATGAACACGATAAGGACAACACGTCGCTTCCATCACGACTAAAGATGCAGAGGACACACAGAAAACAGGTAATCAAACAACGACAACGGCGAATTTGGACACGTGTCGAGCGATGATTGCGTTCCTCGCTAGGTGCCAATCTAGGTACCAATCATGCTAATTAGTCCTCACGCACGTTAATGAACAAGATAAGGACAACTCGTCGTTACGGTCGATGATTACAATCATTGTTCACTATGGCTGACCACTTTCATCCGCTAATTAGTACCAATCAAGCCGAATGATTAGTATCACTCATCAGCTCAATCAGTAGCAATCAAGCCGAATGACTAGTTGCGATTATCAGCTTAATTAATTAATAGCAATCAAGACAGAATGATTAGTAATTACGATCATCAGCTTAATTAGTGTAGTACCAATCAAGGCAGAATTGAATGAATATTTTGTTAGACAGAGCTGACCATGAGGTATGATGACATGTACACGGGTGAAAAAAGCCAAGGCGCCGGCATTGACACCGAACTATTTTTTGACTCAGAAATCGAATGCATATCCCACCATTCCATGGAATAATACATTTCGCGGGATTCGACCAGGCTTTATAATCGGACTCGTGTATCTTGCACAGGAAGTTGGAAAAATACATTTGCCACGCTGACTGACAGCATCACGACGACGACATGTACACGTGTCAAACCTTCCAGCGAGACCGAGATCGACCAAGATCAATCAACACAACCGTGCCACTCATCTTATTTCAAGCGTGTATCTTTAGCAGAAAGATAGAAAAATACATTCGCCGCTTACCTTTTTTTCAAGCGTGTATCTTCAGCTGAAAGTTGGGAAAGTGCATTCGCCATGCAGACTCGGCATCACGACGGTGACATGTGCAC